AGAAAGTACTGGGAGGAGACACCGCGACTCCATACCGCAAAGCAGTTGGTGGGACCTCCACAACCAGTACGTAAAAACGAACTGCTAGGTTTCAGCAAAAAATAAGGAGGATAGTGGCCTTTTTAACAGGACACGCCCCCTGCAAAAAACACCTCTTCAGGATGGGACTGAGTGATTAACCGACCTGCAGGGGTTGCGAATTAGAGGACGAAACTACTCTGCATGTTATGTGTCACTGCACGTCATATGCAACAGGTAGACGAAAACTCCTGGGAGGGGATGAAATTCCACCAGACCAGATCATGCGAACTCCCCTCAAGACTCTTCTGGAATTCATTGAATATACAGGGATAATGAGGGAGTAAAAGTACGAGGGCACAATAGGACAGAAATGACCGCGGTGCGAGGCCAAACACCACCTCGGCGGTGAGGAAAGGGTTTTAGTGGGTAAAGAGCTGAGGTGGAGTCCCACACACACCAGAGCGACAGACCACCAGCTCTGGGAGTGCATAAAAGAGCATTTCCCGAACCTCACCGAAAAAAAAAAAGAAAAAAAATATAAAACAAATTAAAGATATATGGGTGAAAGCCAAACTGACTAAAAACTGGGGCGCACTTACCCCACTCCACTTTATCCCAAACCCGGAGACACGATATGGTGACGGGATATAATCAACCAGTTATATGAGTTACCATTTTATTTGGGTGGTAATTACTAGCGTAATTTTTCGATTTATTTTCCGACCGTCTGTGAGAAAAATATTTATGGAATACATATTTTTTTCCTAAGAAAAAGGTGTGTGTAACGAAGGCTACTAAAATTTTCTTTCTGTCCGGCTAATTTAAGCCAGCACCAGGTGAATGGTCGTTTTCAAGGGCCCCCGGACACTTATTTACGTATTAATAGTACTTTACAATTATACTGGTATCTTTACTAAAAAGGGCTCCCACAATCAGCCAAGTAGTAGGCAGTAGGGAGAGGCGAAAAACGGTATTTGAAGGGACACGCAGTCCAGTTTCGGCACTTATTTTCTGTCCTACCGACCGACCGAACAGACCACACTTCTCTGTCCTACCAGCCCCACCGATTTTGATTTCCATCGGTATTCATCTGCACCGATAACGATCAAGCAGCAAATCGAGAAATTCCAATGAAGAACAACCCTTCCCATTAATGCCGATAGAGGCAATAAACATCGATATACCATCACCAAGCTCCCTGGGAAACAGTTTAATCACACGGGAATTAGTTCGTGAGTATGAGTGTGTGTTCTAAGCTTTATTTTCTGTTCTATATTTTAACTGTGCTATCCAATCTTAATTGTTCAGCGGAATCAGCCCTTTGTTCGAACTCACATGCCTATTGATAGGTGCTATCGGACATCCAGGTTTGCCAGACGGCTAAGTTGTGGGGTTGTGGCAACAAGAGTTGATGCATTGAAGAGGGTGTTCCCATACAGTGGTCTTTGTATATTAATATCCATCGGCCACCACTCTCAATTCTTCTTTAGTAGAGCTTTTGAAATGCTTGCTTGTGTATGCGGCACAATCTTTGCCACCGAGGACTGAATTAAAACCCATCACTCCCGTGCAGGGGTGTGAAAGCACCAGAAGATACCACCTGCATTCCCAGTTGATTCCCATTTTGCCACTAACAAGCACAACATCTAGCAGATGATTTTCTTTAAAAAGCAGTGATATTTTCTTACCATTTTTTATCAATGTTGGTTTTTCCAACAACCATTATGTAAACAAACTTCTCATGGGGTTGGAGACAGAGTTAAGACTAACAGTCTCTGTACCGTTCCACTCATTAGAATAATAGCGGGAATAGGAACGGAAACTCTAGTGAAAGAATAAACTTAAACAAGTTCTCACTACCGCTCTCCAGGCAGGATTCAACCACAAGTTACGCCTGGAAAATAAAGGTGAAGGAGACAAACGGTGTAGAAGAACTGAAGGCCTCCTGGCCAGGAGCTCAAAGTGGGACTTATTTGCTCAACTGGCACAAACAGGAGTGAAGGAACGACTGCGGCTATCCTTTAAGCGTTTATTAAGACACCAGTTGTTGCAGACTTTCTTGCAACAAACGGTCAAAAACACCCTAAATTCCCCCTATAAAAACAAACCCATGAAAACCGCCTGGTTCGTTGATCTTCTCAGCGAAGACCTTTTTTAAGTGCCCGACCAGGCGGGTAAGGGAAGAAATTTCAGTCCGCACCCGAAAATCGAACGCGTAGTATCGCTCCCACAGGCACTTGCGTGCACCCTCTCATTTATTTTTTTCGACACTTGAAGCCGCTTTTTCGAAATATGATAGTGCCCAAGATCAAATTGAAGCGCTTTCTGAACCCGGCCAAGACAAGGAAGATCGGGATATGTTGGAAAACAAATATTACAATACTGTGGTTATAATCAAAGGCCAAATATCAAAATTGTCCCGCTCTTCTGAGTCTTTGCAAACACCTGCTAGTAGTACGCCTAATTTGTCTCAAAGTTTATCTCAGCTTAATATTGAAGTAACACTACCACAAATTAATATTAAGCCTTTCAAAGGTGACACTGCTGAATGAACTCCGTTTTTTCAAATTTTCACTGCACTTATTGTAAATAATCCTGGCCTTATTGACATTCAGAAATGTATTTACTTGAAATCGTTTTTGCGCGATAAAGCACTTAACTTAATCGATAGTCTAGAAGTAACAAACGAAAATTTTAATGCGGCTTTAGACATTTTGCGTAGACGTTATGAAAATAAATTATCTGTAATTAACGCACACTTCAACACGTTGTTAGATGTAGAGCGTTGTTAGTTGTATGACCAAATGTAATGCCTCAGCCCTTAGAGAATTTGTGACTAACTGTCGACGAAGTTTGACTTCTCTTCAAAATTTAAACCATTCGGATAAACAGTTGTTTGAATTTTTATTAATTTATCTTTTGGGTAAAAAGATCGATTTCGGCACAAGACGTGCTTTTGAGTCTGAGCGTGACTTAGGTGAGCTTCCAGAGTTGAGCGAGTTTTTAAATTTTCTGGAAAATTGCTGCTTAATTTTAGAAAACTTGGCTAGCACTGAAAAGACAGTCACAAGAGCCTGTCCTAATTTCAAAATCCAACACAGAACAGCGTTACTTGCGCCTACCAACACACCTTCAAACTCTACACTTTATTGCTTGTATTGTAAAGAAAACAATCACAAAATTTACACTTGCAATCAATTTAAACACTTGCCATTTAGTCAGAAACGAAAGTTTGTTATGTCCTCTAGGCTGTGTTTTAACTGCCTTGGCTCTAAACATTCAGTGAGTAACTGTCCTTCTACAAAAGATTGTTTGATTTGTAACAAGAAACACCATACACTTCTTCAGGACTCCTACACTGATCCTACAAGCAATGATGCAGGTTCAAACCGACGACAATTACAATATGGGTCGACTCAAACTCAATCTAGGGAAAATATTAGTGCAAAGTTTTCTGGTCGACAGAATCATGATAGCCGCTCTGCTCAAAATAGCAAAAATAATTCTTATCGTGTTGCTAATGCGAACACTTATACCTCCACTTCCCGGGACTCTCAAAGAAATTCAAATTTTCACCCATCTCAATGGTCGACATCTGCTTGTAATGAAACACGAGTTTCTGGCCCTAACGAATCGCAAATCACACAAGGTGCTGCGCTCACATCTTTGTCTACCCGAAAAAGTCAAGTGTTGCTGGCTACAGCGGTCGTCTCGCTTTATGACATATCTGGGAATTTAATATCTGCTCGGGCAGTGCTTGATAATGGTTCGCAGAATTCATTCATTACCAAAGTGTTGGCAACTCGTCTGTGACTTTTCTCTTATCACAGGAAAATGCAAATTACAGGAATCGCTCTAACGGATAGCATTGCCACTAAAATGATAGATGTTATCATGCAATCAAATGTTTCTCCACACTATAAATTCACTGTTTCATGTGCTATTTTGCCAGACATTACCTCTTCTTTACCCCAAACCGAGATCAAAGTGCAGAGTTGGGTGATTCCTGAAGGAGTGGTCCTAGCTGACCCTATGTTTCTGAATCCAGGCCCAATTGATCTTCTACTCGGGGCAGACTTATACTACGACCTATTGTCACAAGGAGTAATTCGTCTAGGTAAAGATTTGACAACCTTGATAAATACTCAGCTTGGATGGATTATGGGAGGGTCGTATGCTCAATCACCCGCAATTTACAATGGGGTACAGTCGTGTTCCAACTTGAATGTGTCCCTTTTAACGCAAACTAAGTCCTCTCTGGAAACGTTGGTTTCTAGATTCTGGAGCATTGAGGAAATTGCCTCTGGAAACTACCTCTCCGAGGAAGATCAAATTGCTGAAAATATTTTCGAATCCACAGCACGGGTTCTGGATAACGGCGCTTTCCAGGTTGACCCTCCACTCAAATCCCCTAAAGGAAACCTCAAGCTTGGTGATTCCTTTGCTATTGCTATAGCGATTTGATAATTCGGAGAAAACATTTTCACGCGACAAAAGGTACTTTCGCGAGGACAAAAAGTTTATTGACGAGTCAATTTTGGAAAAGTGGTACCGTCCATACCCAAATTTAACCGAGGGGACGATTGTACTGCTAAAGGAGGATAACACACCCCCTTTGAAATTAAGACTTCTACTGGAGACTTTACTCTCAGTATCACCAAAATTGTTCCTCTCCCACTTCAAGACCATCAACCTCAATTCGCTTTCTCTTCCCTTGAATAGGAGGTTCTCCGTGCTTAGAGCATGTCAGTGGTCTTCCTTTTATAAATTCTTTTTAATTGAAGAGACTTCAATGGGGGGAGTATGTTGCAGACTTTCTTGCAACAAACGGTCAAAAACACTCTAAATTCCCCCTATAAAAACAAACCCATGAAAACCGCCTGGTTCGTTGATCTTCTCAGCGAAGACCTTTTTTAAGTGCCCGACCAGGCGGGTAAGGGAAGAAATTCCAGTCCGCACCCGAAAATCGAACGCGTAGCATCGCTCCCACAAGCACTTGCGTACACCCTCTCATTTATCTCATAGCTGGCGGTAGTGTTTATTTGTAATTAAATGTACAATTGGTTTCAATACCGTTATTTTGGAACACTCAGTGAATACTAGACACTGATGCACACTCATTTTAACACCTTTTGTTTCATTAAAAAATAGTTCAAAATTAGAACTAACAAGACTTTTTGGTTCACTTTTTATAATTTATATTCTTAGTTAGTTTTAAGCTAAAGGTAAGTTTATCTTTGTAAATGAGATTCAGGAAACATTTGTAGATTTCAAAAATTGTATTTGTAGGTATACGACCTTATTTAGGGATTAAACGGGTTTTTAATCAATTATTGTTGGTGTTTTTGTCGTTGCAGTTTTCATTAAAGCTCAGCACGGATATTATTAAATTCACCCTTGGAAAAATAATCCACTTTTATCGTTTGTTGTTACGTCACAAGGCTAATTTGTGACGGCCCTAGATTATTCCACTGATAAGCTAAAATTGTCAGTGCGAATCAGTCACCAGTCCAGAACCGGCCTCTAGTGCCGTGCCCAAGAAAGGACAGGGGTTGAACGTTGAACATAATGGGTAACTACTGGAAAGATACCACTACTCTGACTGCGTATGACAAAGCAGTTTATAGGAGCCTCACAATCAGTATGCAAGAAAGACTCAGCAGGCAACAAAATATGGAGGATTGTGATGTTTACAACTGCACACGCCCATGCGGAAAACACTTTTTCGGAATGGGTTTTAGAAGGAATATGCATAAGATGATGAACATCATATATACGTGCTACTGCACGAAATATGCACCAGAATGACGAAGCCTACTGGCAAGAGTTGAGGTCCAAGTAAGTGAAGTCATGCGTGATCCCTTTCATATCCTTCTGCAATTCATTGAATATACAAAAGTAATGATGTATAAGAGGGCATAATGAATGAATGGTGGGAAAATAGCAATACTGGAGACCACACAACTCAGAACGCTAGAGCAGCATCTCTGTCCCAAACACCATCGACAAAAGAACCATGTTGCGCTTTGGTTAACGTTCCATGTTTACTACTGTTAACCATTTACAGACTGCAAAGCCATTTGCTTCCAACGATGTTATAATGAACTGCATTTTATGTTCCAGTGTTTAATTTTATGCAAGTGCACTCATTGTGGCTAGCTACACATTGCTTCCATACTATGGGGTTTAGGCAACCTTCAGCCAATTCGAGATCAAAGAACACTTTCAGGCACTTTCCAAATGTGAAACTGGCAAACTCGACAGGAAGAATATAAATAAAAAAAAAAACCATCAGCTACAGTTACTAGTACAAGCTGTCATAGAACAAGTTGTAGATAATTTAGCAACAATTAGTATACAAACTACCAAAATATGAAAAGCAACCAGGCAGTATTGAAATAAGCCCTCCTTGGCGTCTGAACAGTATTCTCCTTCTGCATAAATTCTGCAAATCTGAAAAGATGGGAATTAAGAAACCCCCAAAAGTGTTTTATTTCCAATACAGTTGTAAAGTGGGCAGATTTGCCACAAGAGTGTAGCCACTTTTTTAAGTTGATTGTGTTGCCAACAAATAAATATTTGCAGCCCTACATATTGTAAGTTCATCGGCAGTGTTGATTGGTTTATCTAGTAAATAGTTGTTATGTAAATTATGGTAAATTCAATGAATCTATGTAATGAGTTTCCTCCAAATCTTCGTCAACAGTCACCAAGACAGGTGGAAAGGTTGGCTTACTGTCTTCTCCTTTTAAAGTGGGACCTGCAATAAAATATTTGTGATGCTAAATCCTACTGTGTACACAAATAGCTTAAAAATATCGAGGATGAAAACTTGACAGTAAAACTAAGGATCAAAAACTTATTTTTCGTAAAAAAGTTATTTTTCGTTTGGAATGTGAGCACAATTTTATGTTGACACATCATCACAAAAAGTGAAGAACATGGAGTAATGGAAAAGGCCATATTTATGGAGAAGCAACTATTATTGTATCATTCATTACTTTATTGTTTGTGGCTAAATATGAGCTGTTGAATTGAATGGATATTAATTTGATTTGAAATTAATGAATTAATATTACCTTATAAACAAATCCCAAAAAAATTTAATCGCACCAGTTTTGCTTACTCAAAAATCTAACTCGTAAGACCTACAACAGTTTCTGAGTATCTGCTACGGTTTCCGAACTAACACATAAAAAACTTGAACAAAATAACACAAGTTACTTTTGTTCACCCAGTACAGTGCTCAAGAGTGAAAATTATAGATATGAAATTTTACTAATCAATTTATGAATTGTGATCAATCAGTATCATTCGAAGACCGTCCAAAAATTTTCCACGTGATTAATTTCATTGCAACTGATTTTGCTAGAATTTTACACTGTGCTGCGAAAATTTTACACTAAGTGGAGAGGGTCACTAAATTTCGCTATGAAAGAGCTGGCTTTTCCATTATTTTAATTTAAACGTTACTTTTATTACTTTTATTTAATTTTAGGACTGTTTTTTTTTCTTCAAAAAGGCAGGTCGATTATGATTTTCGATTTGAGTAAAGTGGTTTATGAAAATCTTGTAAAGAGTTTCAAAGAAAAACTTACAATTTGATGTAACAATTATCTAATATCCCCCAAGTACCTCTGAAGCATGAAACAAAAAAAAACAATTTACAGCAAATAAAGAAACTACCGAAATCATTGAGACGTTCATGGAAACACTTTTCAATAATTTGTTGTAGAAGTGGTTTCTTACTACAAGGAATATAAATGTTTTTAAATCAATATTGCCAATTTATCCCCCCGATTCTATAAACTTTAGACTTTAAACACGATTTTCTTAATTTTTAAAATGTATCACTTGCACTCTGTTGCCTCGAACACATTAAATAGTATATTCACAATTGTAAGTTTTGTGTGACGCTCGAATTTAGGATGCAATAAATCAGCTATTAATTTTTCAAAAAGCAACATGCAACTAAAATAAAAAAGCAAAAAACAATTTTCACCAGCAACTGTTTAGAAAATCTTCGTAAAATATAAGCTTAAAAGATTAAATCAATATCAGAGAACGAAATTGCGCAAAGTGTTGAAATGGAAAAACAGAAGGGCTCTTCCTTATATAAAGGGCGGCTCAATTAAAAATATCGCAAATGATGGCAAATACAAGAAAATTTATTATTCAGATGTTGTGTAATTTCTCGGGGAAAACCCGAAGGTGATACAACTTTTTATAGATGGCGCTGTTAACGTCAGGTGGCGATAACTCCCATTCTTTAAATGAATTGGTATATTTCTTACTACAAAATCCATGAGCATTTGGTTCTAAATTAAATAGTATTAACGTTTTAACATAGTAATTACACAACATTTGTATAAAACATTTTCCTGTATTTGCTATAATTTACTAGGTTGGTTACGTGACTCGTTCTTTTAAAATGAGCCACCCGTATATGTTATATAAATATACGAATATTACTGTATACATATATAACAAAATTACTCATTGATTGATAACTTACCATGCTCAGTACCCTGTACCATTTTGACTCAGAGAGTGATCATCACTTTTTCAATTTATCAACGTACCGATACCAATATGATCTATAAGATGTGGACACAGTTGTAGACATCGCTAATGTTTACCTGGAGAAAAAAATATATTTTATCAATTAGGAAATCACTAGAATTACTACTTTAGAGAGAATTACTACACTTTAGAATAGGGCTGCCATCAATAATCGTACGATTCAATGCGGACTTAGAGCATGTTGAAAATTATTTCAAATTGTAAAAAGTTTCTGGAAACTTTTGGGGTTATTTGTCGTTTGCCAGCTGCAGGATGACGATATTGGTAGCGAATCTCGATCTGAGGGTATCAAGAAATCGGTAATTTTTATTTTTGTAGATTTGATAAGATTTACGATATTTTTTGTTTTCAGTGTTTCTTTCGTTTACAATCTGTGAAGTCTGTATAGAATCTGTGAAGCTGAGTTAATAAAAAATAAGTTACTAAAGCTGTTCAAATTTATTATGAGTATAATCTCGTGAGTGCGTAGTATAATACTGGCATAAGAAAGCTGTGCACATAAAACTTTAGCTGAATATAAAGGCAGCGCAATTCACGAAATAAGGCCAATTGTCGACCACTTTGATTCCACTAGACCGTAGAAAAGCACATCAAACAGTGAGTTTTTCTCAATAGAACGGTGTCTCAATAATGGCTTTTAAATTTTGGATTTTGTCGCTCCAAATTCGGCAATTTAATTTGAAAATCGCTGTTCAATTCGCCAAACTCACCGTGCGCTACGTTCATTTTACGGTCGATATAATCGAAAAAAATCCAGAACCCATTATGGAGACGCCGTTAAATCCAGGAAAACTAACTGTTTTTGTGCTTTATGGCCTGGAAGAAGTCTGGAAGTGGTCGCAAATTTTACTTCTTTCGGGAATTGCGCTTCATGCTATAATGGCATACAATATTCTTTTCAATAAAGCCAGTACCCTGACCTTGACATTAATACTATGAGTTTTATTTCAGCTTGAAGTTCTATACCTCTAAATAAGCAGCCTTTATAAGGTCACTTAAGGGATGTTTAGGCCGAATTTGACTTCAGTCCGATAAATGCTCAAAAGTTGAGAAACACTGTGTCCGTTATTATATTTTCGAAAAATTCTACGAATTTCAATTAATAATATAGCCAGTTTGCTATCTGATTTTTTAAATATTTAAACAATATGTCGTCATTGATATTTCGCATAATTTAAATACATATTACCTATAGGCGATAACGAATACATTTTTATTGTGTCCCTTTCTTGGTTTAGTTTTGAATAAACGATTGTGTGTTATATATAGGTAGTTGGAATGGGAATTTCAAAGCCAATTAAAATGTGTGAAAGAATACAGGGTGTCCTATTAAAGAAGCTGAGCTAATCTTGTATCTAAAAAAAGCACGTAAAAAACCCCACAAAAAATCGTTTTTACTTTTACTATATTTTGTTTCATATTCGAGATAGAAATGGCGTGGAATATTGAAATCTTTTGAGAAACACGCTACTGCAGCCAAGATGGCGGGACCACAGCTATGCCGGCGATTTACAACAAAAAATGAATACCCTGTACATTAAATATCAATACCTATTATTTTCTTGTTTAATACGCTTGTCTAATAAGTTACAATGCTTTGAAAACAATCAACCACAGATTTACATTCAGGAAGGGATTATTGGGTTTGAATCGCTTTTCAGGAATTTTGGGTGCATTCCAATTGTCGAGCCAATAGCTAATTTTCTATATTTTCCTTTAATTAACCCTTTCTGAAATCTCCCTGTTTCATTCCCGGATTTAATAAAATCTAACTAGAACTGAATAAATAAAAAGGTTTCACTTACCATGAGTAGTACAGCGTAGAGCACAGAATGATCAAGTTTCGCAGGAATTTACTAAAATATTTGTGCGCTAAATTTTTGGCAGTCAGAAATATTCCGGYTTTGCTAAAGCATCCTGCGCGTTGGCCCTTCAAACCACCAAGTGCCAAGAGAGACAAGAAATGTTTATGTTTTCCTCGTGCAATAAAAAACATTAAAGTAGATAGACTGATTTCCTTTAAAAATATATGTTAAAATGTGGTTCAACCTGTGCCTTTGAAAGGGCAAATATCACCAATTTTAGATCATTACTTGTAGTTAATTCAAGGTATTTTTTATTGGTTTGGAATTAAACTTCTATTGTACAAATTAAAAATGTCACTACACTTTCAAGATTTAATTCCAAATTTTATTAAATTTCCGGTATTAAATGTACCAAAGCCCCAGACATTTTATCAACTGGCATTTATAAATGCAGGGGGTTATTTAAGCATGTGCCTTGCATTAAATAGATACTTAACTGGTAGTTTTAATCAGAAAATCATCAACTTATTCAAATTTCTTATAAGTTTAGGTGGCCAATGTTTTCAATTGAATAAACAGAATGTGGAAATAAAACACTCCAATGAATTGGAGAAAAACTCTTGAAAAACGCTTCCATTGCTATTTTCTCGACTCTTGCGACTGTTTTTGTAGATCGCTTCGTTTTTGAGACAAAAACTAAAATCAGTTTCTTCCATGCCCCTGGGTTAACCTAATGAATCATTAAAGCAACCAAACCATGCAGTAGTAGATATAAAATACCAGAAAGTAATTTATCTTTTCAGTTTTTCCGCACAGACAAATTATTTTGCTTAAACAAATAAGCACAACACTATTGCAAAACTTTGTTACTTCTACCCATATAAAAACATCATATAAACTTTTCTTTACAGAATCAACTCCTGAACTTTAGCTACGGAGCTAAAATATGTAAAATATATAACAAAACCCTGCTGTTGGAAAAAATGTAAAATAATTACTCCCCTTAGTAAGTAATAAACGAGGAATATGGAAATATGCAAGATTTATTTCTCGGGGATAATATAAGATGACCAGAGGAGCTACTATAAAATTTTATTTACAAATTTTTCATGAAAACAATGTATGAATGTGTGAACAAGAATAATAACGAAACTTGACACAGAATATAATTTTATTTCGTAAAAAAATATTTTAAAATAACATACAATGTGAGTAAAAATCCCTTTCTCCAACTTAAGCCAGTATAACTCGTGCCGAACGGATTTTCTCAAATCCCTACGAGATCTACGACATACGATTTTCTCAAATCCCTACCCTGTTCTAACATGTTTACTAAAACCGACAGAAATTTTTGAAAAATTTCTTCATGCGTTTCTCCGAAATTCAAGAATGTGTATTCGTTGATTTTCAAGCACAGCATCAGCGGTTGGGGTTGAAAAACAGTTACTTCAAGTGTGTAGCCTTGGTCGACTAGATACATCTCTAACTCGTTCCATGTGCGAAACCTGACCTGAAAAGTAAAAACACATGCATGATTTTCTAATTCCATGAACAGAAAGTTGATATATTTTCTACCAACTGCCACAAAAATGAGAATAAATTATATATACGATTTAAGTTTAATATTGATTGATGCTGATTATATAGATAGCTTTACACATTTTTCGCAGAGTCTTTGCAAATAATTTAAATATAATGTCTTGAAATGCAGGCGATAGATTTAAAAGCCTGTCATGCTTTCGATATCAATTGATGTTATAAAACCCGATCCCGAAAACAAATCTAATTAATTCTAATCTATTGAAGAACGTGTCTAATTAACGTTGCACCAAAGTTTAATAGAGTCAAACTGGTTAGGAGATGCCTGTTTATTCAGTAAGTTGTTATATGTTTTCAGACCTGTCTAAAAATTAAAATAATAGGTGAATAAACACTGAATGATGATGAATAAGTACCATTTGCTTCATTTACGCTTTAAGTTGCTTCATGAGAATTACAAAAAAATATACGTCTTCATATTGATAATGCAAGACTAATCAAGTGCAAATATTTCATAAGAAATAAATATTATGAAAGTGGCATAAGAACAGGTAATTAAAGAAATAAATACAAAATCGTAAAAATGTTGGCATTTATCATGTAGGTTCATACCAATTTATCTTTAGATGATTCCAAAACACTCCTAGTATCTGGATGTGTTCCAATTTTCATATTCTTCACAATATCTGTATATTTTTGCAATGCTTCATCTATCTCTTGAATAGCTGAAACATTGGAAGGTACGGCATTCTGAATGCTTTCTGAAAGCTGTATTTGCTTATATATAGTGCCAATACCTTGCTGCTGTATTCTAAAAAGACAAACAGTTTTATTAGAGCTTTTCCGTTCAACGTGACGAAAAGCTTTAACTGGAGCAGAAGGTCTGATATCAGTAGCTATAACAAATTTTCTTGAGATAATAATAAAACCAGCAAAATAACTGGGAAAGAAACAAATAAATAATTAATTGTTAATATGACCCACATATGTAACATTTTCTTCGCGGCATCCTGTTTTGCTGTTTTTTTGGAAAATCCAAAGCCTTCGACAGTGAATTCCAGAAAATCACAAATAACACAGAATTGATAATTATGTAGTATTTCTTTGTGAATGTAAACGGCATGTGGAAGTTTGTGCCCAGATGATAATTCATTTAGTTTTCCAATAAAATTAATAGTTGGTATGTGCTTTGGTGCTGGAGTGGGTAACATACAAATGCTGGGTAACTAAAATGGAGATATGTACTGAAAATCAAAATTACCGGAGTTGGCAACTACATTTTACCTGATCTGAGTCTTCCGTTCTAATACCCAAATAATTGAGAATTAAAACTGCGGCATTGTGTTTGGCGGATTTTCTTGAGGAGCCTGATGCAGACACTCGTTGAATGCCAATGTCTACGTAGCACATAAAGTATGAATAGTATGAGTTATCCGATTCTTCATATGTATATATTGGGGATGGCAATTTCCGTTGTGTCATTAGTTCTTGTAAAATTGAGACTGGACTTTTCAACATTCTGAAAAAACTGAGAAAGCATATTTGAATACATGCAGCCAAATCACGTAATTCAATTAATTACAAGGGATCTTTGCATATACTCGTATTATATGTATTTAAGCAATATATTAGTTTATCAGTAATGAGCAAGAATATTCATTCAGATAACCATACGTAGTACAAACAATAATTTGATAATGTTTTTGTTTAGTAGTAGTAGCCAGACCTTATTACAGTAGTAAATAATCAACTTACTCTGGAAATACCTGAGCAGATTTGCTACCTATAGATTAAAACACTATAAACGATCACTTTAACGATATGACTGACAGTACCGATGTTTCGACTTCAGCTCTCTAAAAACCACTCAGAATATTTCACATATATTTTATATTTTATGCACTTTTGTAGTTAGTGAATACACTTTAAATCAGCGAATGTTGGATTGAATATTATTGGTCCATATTTTAAACTACTGCTACAAAAATTGGCAAGTTTTTTTGATCTTGGAGATTCAGTCTAGGTGGTGGTCGGAAAATTTTAAAATTTTTACCTACCAAGCTTTAGGCGGTAAATGTTTTCCGTCTACTTTATGGCTGGAAGAGTTATTAGTAAAATCAATCAGAAAATGAGGCATACATTTCATTGATTTTTGTAATAACTTTTCCGGCCCTAAAGAAGGCGAAAAAATAAATCGTCGTCGAAAGCTTGATGGCTAAAAAAGTAACTTTCCTCACCACTGCCTAGACCGTTGAAAACTAGTTTTGCGTTGGATAGTCTTGAAAAATTATTACACAATTTAATAAACCAATTTACCTTCTGTTTCAAATTTCTCTGGGTCGTTCAGATATATCGTAATACTGTCTATTATCTATTTTATCACATGTAACTAACTCAAACGTTCTTCCATTTTTGAAAAATCCATTATCTATTTCAAGGCAATTGCTCGTCTAAGTTAAAACTAGTATTTTTTTAACTTCACATTTCATACTATCATTATGGGTATTGAGGGAGATTAAAACTTAAACATAGATTATGCTTATATATTGTATTATATATCTACATCTGCATTTTCTTAGTCTTTCAAATTTTAGAATTTACAAAATTACATAAACTACTGACCTTAAATTCGATTTTACTTTGTTGTTTTCTGCTTCATAAATGATATTCGATATTTTCTAATTGAATTAAAATTAAAACAGTTTTCCTATAATTCTAAGACATATAATTCAGGTTTGTTGTTTAACTTATGCTTGTAGAAAATTCGCCAATTCCACTGTTTTATTATTCGTTGGACTAGGAATTTATTGCGTCAATTCCATATTAAAAATTCATGAAGATTCAATGAAAAAATAATATTTGAGCATAGCGTTCGTAAATATACAGGGTATTCTACGTATAATAAATATTAAGACACATTATTTTTTCGTTGTTTCACATCGATCTGCTATGAATAATAGACGTCAACCATACCGCATTAACTAAGGCTTAAAAATTATTTTAGACTAGCCTTAGAAGAGAATTAATATAGAAAATAAAAGAAAATTCAATCAACGGTATGCAGAATGCGAGACCGTTCCTCTATACACATTTACCATTTCATTTTTGTCACTCAGGAAAATGTATAAAAATGTAAAAAACTGCTTAGAAGACGCTGCAAGTTTTAGAATAGTTTGCTAGAATTCTAGAATCATGTGGAAATTAATTTTTGCTCAAAAGCTATTTATGCTTGTCACTGGAATACCCTGTATACTTTCTGGAAAAATGTTCGAACTTGGAACTTTCTCCCACTCGAATATCGATTTGTTTTGTTATTAAAATAGTTCTTCAATGATTTCAATCCAATGGTAAAAATAGTAAGCATGAAAAGGCTTGCAAGCCTTTTCATCGAGTTAAATAATATGTTGTTCGGAAAAAAATGGCTATTAATAAATGTAATCCATTCAGTTCATACAAGATAGTTTAAAGTCTCGGAACATAACATGTCTATACTAATAATAAGTTCAGTCGATGTTTATGTACTTTAAACATATTAAAAACCCTGTAGAAAAAGTCCTATAAAGCTAGTTAAAATTGGCAACGACTTCAATATATTGTGATCGTTACTTGACATAAAATATTAAGGATCGATATAAATTTTAAGTAATCGAATCACTTTAAATTGCGGATGATTGTTTCAAAAATTAATTCTGCCACAACTAAACTGAAGTAGTTAGTTAAAGCTCAAATTGTCTTGAAATGAAATATGTGACCCGGAAAAATTTATTCAGGTTTTGTTTTAGCGCCTTATCGATAGCCTGAATTAGCGCAAAAAGTTAGAGTTGATCGCATTCAGGATAAATCTGCCAATGGTAATCTGAATCACAGATTATAACTTTCAGGACCGGTTGATTATCTCAAAGGTGTGCTTCTTAGTTCTCGATGCTGCGTAAACGTCTAAACAACTAAAAACCCTGGCAGATGGATAATAATAGATTTGAACCATAGCCTCAGTTTGAGGAAACACTAATGTTAATGCTGACCACGTTAATGAAAACCATTTAAAATAAAATCTACTCCTCAGTCGGAGTCATGAAATGAAAGTCATGAAAAGCATCTTAGAAACTGAATAATCAGTACAGTAATATAAATAAACAATTAAATAATAAGTCGAGGAAACAGAAACATAAATAGACAAAACGACTTATTAATTGTGATTAGAACTTTTTGAGCAACATCTCTTTGCTGAGTTCATCTGTGAGTTTCAAGGAACAACATGGAATTACTTCGGAAAGGACGTCAACACATAAAAATGCAATTTTTGAAACAAAAAGTGGAATTTTAGTTAAAGCGATCAGGAAAGATTATTATGAATAGATATAGAAGCGCTATACAAGCCATTGATCAATCGAAAATAAGTTAGGGGTCGAATCGAAAAAAGTTATATTATTTATGGTGTACCGTTTTTCGAAAGTTTAGTTTGTAAATTTAACTAACAAATTCAGATTTTTTAATTCTCTGATGTTGAAACAGGTGAAAATTTCTTGGTCATTTAGCAACAGCAATAGAAAACCTTAACATTTCGTTTGAGTGGTTGCCAGTTAATACTACTGGAAGATCAAATAACTTTTGAACTTACATGAGCAAATAAGATTTGGCCAACAGAAAAGTAAACCACCAATTTGTCAGTACAACTTGGACAATTTGGCAATTGTAAAACTAACAATAGTTTATTCTTACCTAAACATGAAAATATCCTAACTACAGTTTCATTTACTAGCAGTTCGTTCTTAACATTATTCCTTCAGGACTGGAACTGTTTTCATGCAAAACGAGTTCTTCTGGAATATTATTAATGACACTAACCCCCGGAAGTTTTGACACTTTCCTCACTTCCAGCTCAGTTGTGAGATCTTCGTTCCTATTTAAAAGATAGTCCAAATCGTGAGATATGCTATCCAAAACGCCATCCAGATTGTCTTCTCGAAAAGTAACCTGGCGGGGCTTAGAAGCAATTGTTTCTTGCTCTTGCTTTACAATCGCTTCAGAATCACTTTCCTGATTTTCTGCATGACCATCAGGCTGAGTTCTCTGAGATTGATCTGCAATGGTTTCAGCTTCTAGTATTTTTGATATGGCATCATCTGGAGTGATAATAACTTGTGGCGGAAACATGATGCGCACTGTTTTATGTTCTCCAGATTTTTTTTCACTTTTTATAGCCGGATGCAAACGAGATACGCCATCTGGTTCTTCCAGATCTGGTTTTGTGGTACACGCTACCAAATCCAGACCCACGTAAGTAGTCAAAATATCTGGGGATTGAAACATGCAATTACTGGAGTTCTGTTTTTTATTTGAAGGATAGGAACTGTGTGATTCCAAATCCCGTTCATATACTGCAGGACTTTCATGGACACTCAAGTCGCAGAAATTCGAACTCGTGTGCAGACAACTTTCAAAAGCATTGGATAAGCTTTGCGCTTTGCTGATTGAAGTTTTCGGAGTGTCGATGGTTTTCACAGACATAAGTTGAATGTCGTGTCGGTTCGGACCACTTTGGTTGTCCAGGTCAGCGTCTTGTTTGGTCGAGACTAAAAAAGTTGACAAATGATTAAAAAGTGGATAGTTTACATTATCTGCTGTAGCTCCTCAATTTTACTTACAGTGTAACGAGCCGGATGAATCAATGCTGAAAAAGCTGTTCTCTCTTTTGGGCTTCTTTTTAAATAAATCTTTCAGATTTGTCTCAGATTTCAAGACGTAGCATGTAATTAGTATCAGATTCTAAAATAATATCAAACATCAGTGAAATAAATTTTCATTTATTTCACATGCAGGTTAAGCTGTGTAAAGTTAAGTAGACTTTAAAACTAGTTTGGAAAAATACTTGCCAATAGTACATTTACTCCTGCAAATTGGTATATACTCCATACTAGTTTCTGATTGTTTATGTATAGAATGCTGCTGACAACAAATATCAAAATAATTCCAAACAAGCAACTTGCTCTTCTGACCAATGACAATCTGAAATATTTTTCAAACAAATAGTATATTTCAAAAAAATGCCCTAAAAATTCTGCATTGTGAGTTATGTTCCAAGTGCATCTAGCAATTTTTCGAAATATCCATGGGAATGAAAAATTTAAATAATGAGTTCACGTAGTGCGGATTCTTGCCTTGCATAGAGAAAGAGTATTTTAAATTATAACAAATGGAGTTAGTAGAATTGGGAATGCTCTACAGTTTTGTAAGGTGAGGGTAAAGCCATATTGGAAGATTCTGAAAAAATTAGTAAATGTTAACTAAAACTCCTCAACAAAATAGACGTTACACGAACAAATTTTGACTAATTTTGGAAGGGAATAAATTCTGATTGCTGTGAGCGATTTGATTTCTGTTTTAAGCGATATTTAGTGCAGTTTTTTTTGAATCAGTGTCCATTTTTACATAGACTTATTGCCTCAGATAAACTTTCTACAGGGTGGCATATAAAACAATGCAAAGTCGATGTTCCACAAGCACTGAGTTGAACAAAAAAAAGTTTCTTATCTAGTTCAACAGCACAAGTTTAAGACAGACCTCGTACCTCGCAAAAGCGTTTCTAAATTTGTTGACCATCTGGTTTATTTACAGAGTGGTCTCAAGAAACGCAAGTTGTCCGCCTTGTAGCGAATATTTTTCTCTTGAACCAATTTTCAAATTTTAGGTCTCATAATGAAGTTAAAACTTCACAGACAGATTGAGGAAAAAATTTGAATATAGAGGCTTGTATGAATAAACGAAAACTTTGAAAGTAAACTTCACTTCAGTTGCAAGTCTACTAGAATCACATATTTCGAGGGCAATTCTGATTTAAATAATTTTCCATATAATTCTGTAAATCGAATTTTCACCTTATATTGTCTATGAAGTTTTAGCTTCAACATACGCTCAAGATCGTGAAAAGTTAAAACTAAACTTTCCCAATGATTCAATGTAGACCATCAAATGATTTCTAAATTGAAGTAAAGACCGCGCCAAAATATACCTATCTAAACCGTAAAAGCAGGAAAAATGTATTAATATCAAATACTAAAAAATAATTAATGTTAGGTGTTTTAACGATTTAGAACCAAAGTTTCAACATATTTCCCTGTCGGCCTTATAATGTTGGCATTTTCTTTTTAACCTGTGGAACAGTTTGAGACTCTCTTCTAATGATGAATATGCAATTAGGGTGCTTGTCCGATTTCATCGTATTCTTATAAGTCGAAAAATCTAGTCTGAGAGTTAACATCCACATAAATATTACACTCATCATGAAAATTAGAAGTTAATCAAATTTGCCTCCAATTCTGGAAAATTTAAATGTAAAAGAACTAATTACTTTTTAGATACTGTATCCTGTTTCCCATGTAGATCATGAGCAGATTCAGAAATTTGATGAAACATCTAAAATTGAAATTAATTTAATTATAATTACAACATTTTTCATAGCTTCTAAAGTCTGCTATAAGTAATAAGCTTAACTTTTAATTTTCAGTTTTTTCCAGGATTTCAATCTACAACTATTTTGCTCACCACAGGCCTAATTTTTGCTCACCTTTTTTTCACAGCCACTTCGTGTTTTTTGCGAGACACAATAAGTTTCCCCAATTTATTCGTTACTGAGAAATAAATAAAAATGAACAACATCGTCACTATTACAATGACTATTAGGAAAATATTAAGGGCCAATGAGTTTTCCATCAGCCACCAAGATCTCAATTTCAGATTCATCGTTTTGTACGTTAAATGGTTCCCGAAGACTGTGATCAGCGGAACTCCTGGATATAAAACATAATTGATAATGGTAAACAACAAATAAAGCAACATATTTGCTTTTTCATGATTGTAAAAATGTTATTTTACCTGAAATAATTCCCACTACAGTGTATTTTGAGGACACCGATCTGGGTACCTCAGTCAGTTCAGTGAACACAATAAGAAGTTTGCTGAGATGGCTGGAGATGCCCACTAGCACAAACATTTCTAGCAAAGTTTGAAATACCATCAAATAACGCTAAAATATTTTTTTATGTTACAAAAAATAACATGGGTTTATTTATTTCCAACTTGCCTGTGGGGGTTCAATTATAATAGCAACCGCAAACAGCACTTCGCAAAAAAATAGGGAAACTGTACATTGCAGCTTGAGGTATATTAAACATGGGTTTTTAGTTAAAAAGCAGGAAATACCCAAACAGATCGTAGTGGAAATCGTTAAGATAATGCCCAAGAAAAAACTGGAAATTAGTACGTACTTATGAGATACGTTGGACGGAGTTTCTTCCTGAAACAGAGTTCAACCATTAAATGCCAAGTAATTTAATAAATTTTTATTTAGATGAGTAGGCAGAAATCACGGGTGTGGATGAAATAAATCCTGAAAATTTGAAACATTCACATAATATTGATTGCAGAACATTTTCTAAAACATTCCTATGAACAAATACTGATTTTAAAATTATTCAAAAACCTCAAATGAAATCATAATATGTTTTATTGCCACAGAAAATCTGAAATACATTTTATGGACAAAGCGATTTCAACTTTTTACGACGACAAAATATAAAGAATCCAACTTACAAAAGTTTGCGCTAACACCAAGATAAGAACATACGATCCAAATTTTGAACAAATGCACGTTGAGCTTTGTTCATCAATGGATTTTACAGTGCAAGTATAGATATCCCAGTCGTATGCAAAAGATCTCATATCCGCATATCCACATCTTACTTCCCATCGTTCCTTACTGGTAGCATTGAAAAAGTCCGTGCTGAATTTGTGCAGGAAATCTACTTTTATGGAAACATTCTCGTTTTTGGATAGGTTTGAGGAAATGGGGACAAAAGTGACTACTTGCGAGAATATCTGATATTGAATTTCATTTTCGTCTCTGGAAAATAATGTTTTAGATTAGCGTGGAAAATGTTTTTATTTTACTATACGACATAACAGTTAATAAATAAATCTTGGTTGAAATGCTTAACTCAAAATTTAAACGTTTTATGAAGGCATCAATGACAGAACATCTGCTTCACACTTACCTATTTCTTAAAAATAGTTTTGGAGGAAAAAATAACGACAAATTTCGATATACGATTCCAACAAACAAATCCGAATAGATTGACTTTAGTTGTGCAGTAAGTCTTGTGGAAACCCACGATTGTGATCTAGAACAAAATGTATCTTATATTTTCATATATTTAATTCATAACAGCAGCAGCAAAGAAATATACCCCATGTTGCACCCTAAATCGGAAATATTCCCTTCTGACATACAATATGAAAGACTATAGATTTTTATTATAAATTCCGTGTGATTTAATTTTCCTTAATATTTTACCAAGAAAATAGCTAGTCTGCTTTTGTTAAAAGTTCAAATATACAGGCAGGACTAGTTACCTTCCTGCTTTCATAGAATAAAAATTATCTGTGGGAATTGTTATGATTTCAAATATGTACTTCCTAGTTATTTTATTTTCAGTCCAATAAAAAGTATGTTTTATTATTTTGTGAATAGCTAGTAAAAGTGGATAGTGGACAAGTGCATCTTGAGCTAATAATCCCATAAGGAAAATAAGACAATCGTTTTTTTAGAAAATTTCAAGTTTTGTATTAATTTTCATTTTTAATGACATGCTGTAAACGAAATTATTTGTTGATAATATTAATTAGTTCTACAATGTCTTAACCTGTAAGCGTTTTAAAGCATAAAAAACCTGAATATATATGGAATAAGTAGGTATTATTAATCCCTTGTAAATGAATGTTATAAAAGCATTTGGTAATTTTAAAGCATTTGGCAAATTTCGTTCTGCAAGATAATTTTAATGACAGGACAAAAAAGAACATGAAAACTGCTTAATATTATTTTAATCGCAAGCATTGGAAAAACTTTGAAACAACTCGAAAAATAAGTTTGATCATATAAGATAAATAACAAAAACGTTCCATTATTAAACGCTAATAAAAACGAATAATTAACTTATTGACAAATCTAACTGTAGAAAATTATTTTAAAATTTGGATAATTATTTAATTGTTCCTTGTCAGGCACATACATATTATATTTTCAAATCGTATTCACAGAGATTTGCAAACTTGTCACTATTGTCCTTCTAGAAGCTGAGTTTTACTTACCTTAAAGTTTTACTGCCCGCCGGTACATAGAGCATCGTTAAAGTCGGGGTTTCTCTTACAACGGTAATATCAAGCGTATCGAGGGACAAGTTAAGAGCTTTAGAGCTGTCTTGCTCCACTAAATAAAAGCCGGATATTTCTAGTTGGTGAAATAGCACCGTTTGTAGCAAGTTGATATCCTGAAATATTTGATAATATTCTATGTGTTGCAAGATAAAGTTTATTTATGTAAATATACACTGTGGTTTGCAGCGGAAGCTTTCGAGTATTGGCTGTATTGGAATTGGAACCTGAAATGCATTTCTGGAAGCGTTTACTGGATTACATGTGAGTAATTTTTAAGGAAATCTAATTGTCCAGTAATGAGAGGGATGAGAGAAAAATTAGATTATTTGAAAACAAAATAAAATGAGATGTAAGTACAACGTTTGAAAACGGTCGCTTTAAACAAAAGCTATTTTTAAAACATTGTCTGTACTTCTGCAGACAAGCTTTTTATTAATTATTCTTAGCTGTTTTAGTTCCGGGTCTGCAAATCCTCTTAGGACATACAAGCCACTTACCTTTGCCCTCAATAATGCATCAGGAGATGATGAAATAGAATCCAATACAGATACAGCCGTCTGAGTCAGGTTTTGAATTGTGTGCTTTCCGAGTTTCGTTTGGTTCAAAAAAGCCAATATCTCGTTAAGCATAACTAGGATTCTTGTACCCTCTCCAGGGCGTAATGGTACGGATGATGTATAATGAAGGAAACCCGAAAATAAACTTTCAATACTTGCTGATCCATATCCGTACTTTAGTACTTCAAACTGAAAAAGGTAGCAACGGTGTTACCAGCACATCACACAGATTTTTTGTCTAAGCTAAAAGTGTATATGGGATGTCTGAAAATAACGTCAAAATATTTTGCAAAACAAGTGTAACAATTGCTTCTTAAAAGGGCTGGAATTATTTGAAGGCATAACTTAGTTTAAAAACGTTTTGCATCAAATTATAAATTTCGTGTATTGTTTAATAAATGAGTGTGAGAAAGAGGCAGGAGCGTCTTGTATGTAAAGAACTTTTACTAATTTCTCTTCTTATGATAGACATTATTCCCTTTGGGGCTTTTCTTCAAAAGAGCATCTCAAAGTTTATAAATTGACAGTCTCACTAACATATTATTGTTTCGCCTAAAAGCCATATGCTTAATTTTGCAGAAAATGATCTACCTTTTATCAGTTGGGAAAAGACGTCTTTTCTCTTGTCTTTAATTTTTTCAATTTCTCTGTCTTTCAGTAATACGCTTTGAAATGTCATGAAAAGTCTCAAGCAGAAAAGGTAGGATATGATAACGTTTGTATAAGTAGAAAATGCTCTCTATGTCACCCTGTCTTGCTACGCTGACTGAAATCTGCAACTGTCCCCAGAAAATAAAGTTTTCAGACCCACTTATTAGAGAATACCAAGTTTGAATATTCCGGCACAAACGGTTGGGAAAATATTGCCAGAAAAAGCCTGTTCAAAGTTCTCCTTTGAAAAGAAGTAATATTAGTATCTCTTTAAACAAGATTTGTATATTTTCGATAGATTCACATCCCGAAATATTTCCATGCATATCCATTATTTAAACGCCAGTTTAAATTAACTTTTAAACCATGCAATTGTTCCTTCACTCTTTTTGTGGGTCGCCAAAAAATGAGTATAAGCGTGTTTTTGATAAGATTATTCTGTTAAATTCTGTTGGTTAAATATTCTGTATAAAAACAACATAATCGCGTTTAAGTAAATAATACACTTGTTTACATTATGTTCATTGCGATAATTTTAAGAATTGGGAAGGAGTTTTAAGAGAGGTTTAAAAGGATTACGCACGGGTTGTTATTCAGAGAAGAACAACGCCAACGTTTTATTTATAAATAGAAAACGTGGCAGATTAAAAAGCACAAATGCTTGGCTGAAAAGGGGACTTAAGGCGTCTACAATGCTGATGAAAAAATTCATTGAGTAAAAAAGGACTTATAGATATCCCCATGCGTCAGCATTTTTGTGCCATGTCTCTTTTTATCTACGTTTCTCAAGAAGAACCGCAAAGCCTAATATACACTATGTACACTATGTATAATTAGAAAGGAGAAAATACAGTATTAAGTTAAAAATTAAATATACAAATTAACAGCAGAAGTTCATGTGATTGGACTGTATTGAAACATAGAGCCACGAAAACAAATTGTTTCATTCAGATTTAACAACAGAGAAGTTGTCCAAAATGATTTGCTTAACGCCTTAAAGTTGAAATACATTTATGCGTGGCGAAAACAGTATTAAAAATAATGTAAAATTCAATTGCCAAATATGTAGTATATCATTCAGGAAATGTTATAAATGGCACGTTCAAGTACGTTCCTTCAAGTGCAACTGTTGGCCTCAGAACAGCGAGATAATTAAGATTTGCTGTTTCCGCAATAACAGCGCCTCATTTCTTATTCACTGTAGTTGCAGCAACATTCTGCTCTGAACTTTAACCAAGTTTCCTACTGTTAGCCTACTAGTTCAGCACAAGGCACGTTAAACGATAATAGTATTATTAGAATGTGCTTAGACTTTGCTATAAATCTGGCCGATAAGTTTTTAGACAAATACATTCCAGCACATCAAGTTACTGCAGAAAGCAAAAGTTTCTCGCTTAACGTCTTGATGTATTCCGCGAAGTTCGGCACTTTCTTTGACACTTTTTGTTCGATAATTGAATTGAAACTTTAATTTTGGCACATATAATTTAGTTTTGGCATGTTTTATGATAATGCATCTTGGGTATAAGGAGTAGCTAGTTATTGAGATAGCTCACGTTGGGCTCAAAGTTCCCATTAAGGAGTTTTAACCTTCCATGCGGTTTAAATTGCTTCGTTGATATACTTACCTACTATTTACCCATTCAGGAATTAGACCTTGAAGTGGGTAGTGGTTTTATTTATCTTATGGAATTTTTCGATACAATTGAAAATTTGGTTTATAATTTTTAGCGAGCTTTTCAAACCTTGTTTTGAGAAAGTTAACCACGACCATCCAGGCCAATTTAATTTAAAGAGAATAAAACAGCAATTTTTGGTAATAAAATGAAACCAGCTTTACTAAAGCATGGCAAATGGCGCTTAAAATTCAAGGACGCAGCTAATAAATAAATACCTGCTCATAAACCTTCCTGAGGAATTCGCCTGTGCACTGCGAAAAGTCTGGAGCACCCCAAGCCGGAGTTTTTCCATCTCTAAGCATACATTTTCTGGATATTATTCCCGAATAATCCTTTGGACATTCTTGGACATATTCAGTGTCCGGCGCAGTCTCGGGCCAAATAAGTCCGTATTTAGTTTCATTCGAACAAGGGTGCACTTGCTTATCCAGAAAATGCACTTGAATGCTGCGTTCCGATGAAGTTAAACTGTCCTGAACTAGGCAGGAAAAATGTACGTCTTTCTAAAAGATAAGTTTGCTACATTTGGATTTCTTTTTGGGCGTTTGGCGAAATAACTGCGTATAACTTGAACTTATCATATTGTAGTGTAAAATTTACTAAATATTTTATTGCCATCTTCTCAAAACATAAATGATAATAATTACAAAACCACATGGCTGGGCAGCAGATATTAACTCTGTAAGATCTAAATCCGGTTCTATTCTAATATCAACTAGCAGCAAATTAGCATAAACCGTATACGAAAATTCACTGGCCTGCAAAACGAGGTTTCTCTACCTCAAAGTTTAATGTGCTTTTGAATCTTCAAATATAAATCATACCAAAATCACCAGAAGTTTGAGGTAATAATTCTCAGATTAAACTAGGCTTTCAGTCTGAAAATCGAATATTCAACGTTTTATTACTTTAATGCCCCCAAGAGAAGTACTCGACAACGAATTCTCTTCAAATCAAAAGGTGAAAAAATAACACAGGTGCGAACATTGCAATTTACAATGATTTGTCACGATTTTAGATTTTGTTCTCCGTATAGATTGTGCTTCGATATACACGCATAAATCTATGATTGCGGTTTATATTTTTTATAAATTATACATACTGACTTATAACAATTATAATTATCTATTTATTTTAGTTCTTACATATATCAGAGGGTAACAAAAAAAATTAATACACGAAATTGAAAGAAGATCCTGTAGTTTATCTAAATATTTTCAATTTAACAACGAATAACGAAAAGCATGCATGAAAGAACTAACGTATAAACCCCCTAAAACGGTCCTGAATTGTATAAAGCTAGTTATGAGAATAAGAATTTAGTTCAATTCCGTTCAATTGAAGAAAAATGGTATTCAAAATACTTACTTCAATACCAAACACCTGCAAAATCGTACCGGCTGGATAAAGGGTTTCATATCTTTCAGAGTCTGTTCTCACAGGAAGAAGCTCTTTATTTTTGGTCCAGCTGTAGGTGTACTTTCCAATGATGCCCCCATTTCCTTCTAAGGTTACACACTTAACAGTAAAATTTTGACCCTGTAATAGCATAATAATTACGGTTCCATTAAAATTAAAACTCTTAAGATTCGAAATAAAAATTTTACATTTCCTAAAGTTAAATTTCTTCAGAATGGAAGCAGATGCAAACTTAAAGATTAATCTCTAATAAAGAAAACCGCTTGGCTATTTGGGAATCTTATATATTATCGCAAAAGTGGCTATGCGTCCTTAATGTGTACAAGAGTGTTTATCCAATATGTATAGAAAACATATTAGTTTTGCTTTATGTTGCATTGTTAAGGCTGTCCCTCAAATAAAAGGCGACACGTAAAAGCTTTTCTGTATTTAAAAGGAAAACCATCAGATATTTTTTTACTTTTAAGGGTCTACGCGGGAAAATTAGAAATACAGGGGCGAAAAAACAATTTTTATGACAAAGCATGTCGAATAAAGGCTGAGGACATAAATGGCATCATATTAGCGACCCCAAATATTCATTAAATTGGCTTATCACTTAACTGTAGTATTGAGCTGACAAATCCGTGAAAATATGTGTATACATGTTTATGAATTTCAATCACAACGATGATATTTCAATCGCTGTTGTGTGCTTATTGGATATTTGTTGTGTTATGACCAAATCACTTGAATGCCAAATTGCCTAGTATTGTTTTCGGCGTGTTTTCATCGATTTTTAGTTGAAAAAAATCGTTTTTTGAATATGCTGCATAACAATAACATGCGTTTTCAGTCCCTTAGCATCAAATAATTGTCTCGCAATCGTATGGGAAATCAATTATCTTGCTACCTTCCGCACTGTTAAACTCATTGGCTCAATCTTCACAAGAGGAGGCCTCTTGACTTTCACAAATTTCGACTTGCATTGTTGAATATTAAAATCCTCCACTTGACATGTAAATTTTCCTTCGTCGTATTTTCGAGCCGTTCCGACAGCCAACAGGGCGGTATATTGGTCAGTCACGTGCGGGTCTTTTATCAGTTTTATCCATTTGTGGCTGAAAACCGAAAAAAAAGAGAATGTTTAATAGACGTTGAGGTGATAATTTTTCACCGCCTAGATATTCGAATTACATTCCGAAATGGATGACTATAAAATTTTACCAATTTTACCGGGACACCAAGTGACCTGAATTTGAATAGTTTAAGGTAAATGCAGGATATAAATAGATGATTTACCACACTGACGGATAAAACGCCTTTTCAGGCAACTGGAAGGATTTACTCAAAGGTCAGTAGCATCATTTAGCAACTATTGTTAACATAGAGAAAAAAATACGAAATTGTTTTCTATGGTACTAACAATGAGTAATATTAACCACAGTTATTTTTGAAGTAATTTTAAACAAATTATTTACACATCACGGATAAGGAAATACGTTGTTAATGAATCTAAACCAAGCCAAGTAATTAAATTAAATTTAATTTAATAAGCTTGGACTGAAAATGTGTAGTTGCAATTGTTTAATAATTATTTAGTTATTTGTGTCTAACATTTATAGTCTGTTTGCTAACTATATAATAACTTGAATTATAACTAAGCAAGTATATTTAAATATTTTTTTAAATGATTACTGCAAGTTAGTAATTTTCAATCGCGGAAAACTTTCAGAGGAGTAATGTTTTGCGAGTAAACCTTCCCTCCAATATTTGTTTGTGACATAGTAATTTTTAGAGTGTTTCGCTCATTTTCCCTAGGAATTACAATAATCGAAAATATTAGACAGAGAAGAAAATTTTGTATTGATTTTCATTTGCAAGTTCTATTTTCATTAATTTATTTTCACTATCCATTTTTGATTAAAACAAAAACTGTTGAGATTGCACAGAAAATTAAAAAGGACACAAAACTCACCGAGTAAAGGTCAGATTCACGAATGTTCCGTCTTTGAACCATCGAAAGGTCATTGAAGGCGAACCTCGGGCAACACAACTTAGAATGAATTCGTCGTTCTCCCTGATCACCCCAGGCTGATTTATATCCACACTCTGGAACAACAAAAAATTGCTTTAGAAACTTTGTTGTTTACTGCCGCTATAATTTAAAACTAAATTGGACCTCGGAAACGGAAAGAAAAGCAGATGGATTGGAAAAGTATTCACTAAATACAATCAGCGTTAGTCATCGTGCAGACATTATTCTCTGGAAAACTCATCAACCAGTCAATAGTATCAACTCATTTATAATAGGCTGGTTTTAGTGCAATGCAATCTAATTTAATTAAAAGCAAACGCGGCATTAATTCAAACCTTTTATGAAGTCTGATTTGCGAAACGATTCATCAAATTTTCTCTGAATAAATATGCTTAAAATTCTAATTCAAACAATCGCAATGTCGCATTTCCGTAAATTATCAAGTAAGTAATTGGCAACTTCCTTGGTAAGTTTGGTTAATAAGGACATTTCATGTAGAAATCCAGCTCTGACAGAAGAAGATTAATTGCTAAGCTTCCCGGTTCACAAATATACTTTCGGATATTGGGACGTCCATTCGAAATGGAATAAATTGACCTATTTAACGAAAATGCTACTTGTTTGCACGTAGAATCAGTAGGTCCATTAAAACGGCCCACCCAGTAAAATTATTTTGGCATTATAAAAATTGATCCGTAAAATAAAACAGTTTTATACAAGTTACTCCAGTGCATGCCAAATATTACGAAATGTGGTTCTATTTTGAGCCCGTTTTGGTCGAAACGATATATTGCTAAATTAGAAACCAAAAACACTTTACCTCAATAAAGTTTACATTAATATATAAAACCAGCTCGAAATTTTTACTTGTATTTTTGTTCGTATAGTTGCAACTTTACAGTTGCATCGAAACCATTTCCGACGCATTTAGTTTAAATGCTTGTTGAATTTTGTTAGTTCTCGCAACTCTTTAGTTTTTGGGTGTCATGATTTGGTAGCTGGTTATTTATTCTCATTGCAAATTGAAAAACCCAATGCAAACCACATATTTTATTGATAATTTGAAAGACTAATGCTTACGCTTGTTAAAGTGTGACGGTGCTTCTCTCACTTCTCAAAGTGAGAGAAGCATCTAAACAATAAAGATACCTTAGATTTTATACCCCTAAGGATTGAATATCGTTAAATGTTTTCACGTCAGTACTAATATGGTTCCTCACATGTTTTCGCATTTTTCCGACACTTTCAGACCTTTCAGAATTCTCAGAACAGTCGTGAATGTATTCCAGATAAAAACTCTAAAAGGGAAGTGATAGAAATTTAAAAAACTTATCAACGTTTCAAAATATGCGTTTGTTAGTACAGTTTTGCAACTTTCAAGACTACTATCACAAATACATAAATTGAGTGGCATGATAAATTAACTTTGCTTGAGCGTATTATATGTATATAAATAAATTAAAATTATTATTCCCGGATTTTTTTAAAACATCTTTAGAGGATTTGAAAATCCAATTTCAATACTCTAAGGAGTACACCATAAAAGAAAGTTCGAAACTGCTGCTATTCAGGGACAGCGGCAACTTGCTTAAGGTAAATTAGAAGCCACCGCAGATAGAATCCCTTTTCTGACAAGCTTTGGTTTCATTAAAGGAGCTTGGAAAAGCGAAAGCTTGTAATAAGTCTGGCGTATTTGCATTTGGATTACCGACTCGCTTTCGTAAAAAGTATTCTGGAAATACAATGTATAGTTGAAATCTGCATTTGAAATGTTTTAACTTAACAATTCTACAACACGTTGATCTTCGTGTTTAGCATGTTTGGCTTGCCCCGATATTATTTTGTTGTAATATGGTAAAGTTCTAAAAACTTCTATCATCTGCTAAATGTAAAGTCTTTGTTACTCTATGTAGCTCTTGATTTGATGATGACAATACTATTTATTCGAGAGTAACGTTCCATAGTAGTCTAAAATGTTAGTGCCTTTACAGCTGTGGAAGCGGCATATTGTTCTAAGCACCTCTCAAAAGACGTAAAAATATTAATTTTGCTCTTATCGAGGACATCAAAACAGGCGAACATTTGGTGAAAAGAAAACGGATTTTAGAAAAAGCGTCAGCTATTATCAACAGAAAGGCTCTATGAATATTATCAGCGGCATTTGGGCATTTGCATCTAGATAATATGACTTAATTATACACTTGAATCTTCTCTAAGTTATTAACATTTTCAGTTGAAAAAGATACACATCAACAACATCTTCATTTTTTTTCATTATCGTTAAAATGAAATTAAATAGTTATTTAGGTTCATATTAAATAATTTTAAAACGTTAATTCAAATTCAGACCTTTGCTAAATAACCTATGATATTTCACCATTAGCATTACAAAATGTTTCATATTTCATCAGCTATTTGAACATAGAAATTCTGTCACTAAATATGAACCACAATTTAAATAATTTCAAAAAATAAGTGTTCATATTCACGCGAATGAATATGTAATTGATAGATACATTCAGTACTATTAGTTTTTCTATCTACATATTTCTGAGGGTGATAGGTTGAATGTTGAATAAAGTTATATTTTTGTCAATTATGCTCACTCTTGAAATATATGCTTCAAAGCAATATACATTTTAATGAATGTGAACTTCTACCGAGCAAAGAATATTACTTTAAGTTCAAACGAACTAAGTTGAAACTTCACAGCTTGAATACGAAAATAACCCACTTTGCATGTAAAGCTTTGTTTTGAATTCTGCAGACGAATTGGGTCCGAAAACATTCTAACTTATCGTGTGTAATATACAATAAGTCATATGGAAGTCTATTAATTATTAGCCATTAAAATAACTACTCATTCCAATTATTTTTTTGAATTCTGGTAGCAGGTAGATAATTCTGTTAACTTTTATCCCCGATATTTTAACAATAAATAAATGAAACTTTCCATTTCATCATTCTGTAATAGAAATTATCTTCATTTCCAATTTCGGATATTTTTTTGTTCTTACGGTGCTCTATTTTGTTCCATTCAACATTTTCGTATTTCGTTTTATGTGCGTAAATAACGCCGCAAACTTTTGCAGTGTATAAATAATAATATAAAACCGGGAACTAAAAGTAAAACCGAATTTCTCCCAAGCGGCCCATTTTTAATAATCAATAATATGTTTGCTCTGAACTTTAATATTTGATACCCTGAATACAAAAACTTTAATATAATTTTCCACGACAGAGTCTGTTTTAAATAAAATGCGTTTGTTCCGAAAAGGGTGAACGGCATCGCCTAAAACCAGCTATTGGTTTTTTTAAGGCGAAAGCAACCGACTAAAAAGGTCAGAGCTTTACAATTATCTAAATTCAATTCCGATCACACTTGTGCAATGAAGCACTTTAAATTGAACTTAAATTACTTAAAATAAAACTAAATGTTTTAAGTGACAAAATTTGCAACAAAAATAACAAATTTCCTTAATGCAAACCGTTGCCAGCCAGATTAAAGAAACAAAACAGTCGGATTATTAATTTGTATATCGGGTAATATAGTCTTTAAGTAATGAAATTTACATTGAAGACAGTTTAAAGCTCTTTACGGCACCTAAAACACTACGCCAAGTTATTCAGTATAAATTGAGAGAGACCGTGGAAATTATCCCGTTTTCTTACCAAGCTCGTTACTTTCGTTAAGAGAAAGTTATAAAAGCCAAGGGTTTTGTGAAGCTCGAAAAATACTTCTAATATAATTCATTAACTTTTCCTTAAATAAATAAACTAAAAAAGTTATGGAAATCTACTTAAATTAATCGGAATTGCAACTTTTGGTCAATTACCTTCCGGTCACAACTTAATTATGTGATTTTTCAAAGCAAACATATTGCATTCTTTTTATCAGAAGTCTCTAAATACAAAACGATTGTCTTATGCAGGTTTTGTTCAAATAATTGTCTTTACCTCGTGTCTAAATTACTCCTTCAAGAACAACAATGCAGCATAAAAATAATCTAAATAGCGTGCAAAGTTTCTCGGGCTATTTATAGTTATTCAAGCGGGTGAAATTGTTCTGAAAACTGTCAAAAGTGCAGCACCAATCACCTAATATATCAACTGTGTTATGAAAGTTTCTGCTCAAACTGCGTCCTTAAAACTTTTTCTTTGTCGCGGCTATTATTGTAGAATCAAAATTCTAGGTTACTTTGCAGATTTAATGCAAAAGTGTATAAAAATACGATATATGAGTGTAGATAAAACCGTATAAAGTTAGTTTAACATTTTTTATATTTTATGGCCTGTTTTAGTTAGCGATTGTGGATAAATGTAAGTTTAAGGTGATTGCAGACCTGAAGAAAAAATATCAATTAAGAGAAAATATGGACGGTCCTCAATATCTCAATACCTGAACACCGATTGGATTTTGATGAAAAAGTCGTAAATTTGCAAGTTACCTTAAAGTTAGTGACACAATATTGAGCTAAAATCGTTGAGGGTTTGTTTACAAAAAAATAACAGCTAGATTTTTAACTATATTTCTGAACTCTAGCCGAAGAATTTGTCGAACTTCTCAATTGAAATCGAAGCTCACATAAATAAAATGTCATATTCATGCAAATTAGACGCTCGGTAACTGGATGCTTGTATTTGTCTGGGGAAAATTGATTAACAAGAACATCTCAGGAATAAATTCAGTCGTGACAGAAAGAGATAATTACAAAGCTTTCTGGGCGCAAATATGCTTTTGGAAAACTGGAGCGTAATTCTGCTAGTCTCGGATGAATCGCTTCGAAATGGAGTAAACTTACATTCTTAATGGAAATGATAAATCTGTCCTTATCAGCATACGATCCGGAACCACTTTAAAATAGAATGCATGTTTTTAACAATGATTTATATTTCATGTTCAGCTTCACATTCAGGATAATTCAAAATTGCCGCCATTGCTATGAGAGGAATATAGACAGCCCTTCAGGGAAAAAAATATAATTTCTCTCCCTCAAACAAAGACATGTGGAAAAAACGAAATTTTAAATAACACAGCCGTTATAACTTACCAACGCTTATCCTCAATAACGTTATGCAAATATATATTGAATTCATTATTTTTCATTTCGCTTGCGTGTGGGCAAGTGTAAGATAAAAATATAATTAGAGCCCCGATTGTGACTTAGATAAAAGTTTATCAATGCTTTAGGGTTTAAAACGTTTACGAAAGCAATAAATATTAAGAACTTAAATAAAGTTGCCTCGCCATTTAAAATGCTTTTGCCTAAAGATAAACATTAAAGACTTTAAATTAGGCTAATAAATTTAAAATGGATTATTATTTGCTCACCAAACACATAAAAAATGTCACATACATATTTTATGCAATTTTGTGTGTGTGTCTTGTTCATTCAATGAAACAAAAGGATTGCATATAAAATGTCAAAAATAAGACGTAATATTTACATTTTCAAAGGCAAATTGAAATTCATTAAGAGTATTAATAGCTGCACATGAAATGCTTAGACGTAAATAGAGTTGAGAACATTGGAAAAGGATTTCTATACAGGCAAATAGTTCGAAACTAGAAGCATTTGAACTAGGAACCGATCTAACTGAGCATATTTATCAATTGATCGTCAAAATCGAGTTAGGGAATAAGTTTTATCAGCAGCAACGGATCGGAAGTTTGAAGAGACGGAAGTTTGCCATAATTATACGAATCGTTTGATATTCTCTTTCGAAGAATGTAATAGAATAATAAATAACTGATGGACTGAAACAGCCTGCTATGAATTTTCAATCACTACTCACCTGGATTGCTAGTGGCGTTTTAATCGAATTATCGTTTTCGGCCACCGTAATATTTCCAACGAAACCACGATCGACCCACTTGTTTAGGACATTTTTCACCTTTTTTTCCTCCTTTTTGGAGCCGACCACTTGAAAGGTTACGTCAGCACCCGACATGTAATGGCTAAAATAAAAAAGAAGTGGTGTTAAATTCAAGGGCCGACTGAGATACATTCAGCCAGCTGCTCATTCAAGGGCTATATATTTCATAGCAAACATTTATGAAAAAGCTCTTATTATTCCTCTAGCATATCCGTAAGAACACTCTGCAAATTCGCTAGTACATATTCTTAAGCCTCAGCTGGTTGAAAATAGTTACGTTCATGAAATTTTAAACCGATTATCCGAACTAAATAATTTGTTAGTACAATTATACGGGTTTAATATTAGAGCGTGTCAAATGTAATTTAAGAAAGCATAGGTCTACGTTTGGTTTGATGAAAAGATCAAATCATGAACAGAACATCTGAAAAATGCATGTAATGCAAATGCGTAGTTATGCAGATTAGACGATTTTCTAGTTCACTGGAAAGTTTATTATGCTAGGACAAAGCTACTAAATAACTAAATGGGTCTCGTTTTTCAAACCTGACAAAATCCAAAGTGTATGGATTGCTCTAATTAATGTTAAATGTTCCACAAACTACATAGGAATCACGCCGAGTAGCAGCGCAAGGCTTTGAAGGGATAGGCCGATTTTAATTAAAAGCAAATGCTAATAACTCAAATTATTTCAAATAATATTTATTCACGGCTTTTGAAGTAATGCTGCTTTAATTTATGCCTGAGGGGAAACTAATACATTATAATTATTTGTATTAATGCAGTATAAGGGTTTTGGAGTAATTGTAGGAGCGGCCGCTTTATTGACCTAAAAATATTTTAATGTGGGCTTTTTTTAAAATCAATATTTTTATATCACGTAGATATACGACTTCTCCAAATTCGTGTTTTTAAATGTTTATTACAAAGCATAAACCAATAGCGCCAAACGGCCGAAGCACTGTAAAAATAGCTTTGCTCTTAGTATTTTATTGTCCAGTTCTTCTTCGGTCAATCGCGGTTTGATGACATAATTTCGGATTTTTTTTCTGAAATTTTCATCTATACATAGTGAGCTGGCCTCAACATTCTACTTCATTATCTCATATAGTTTCTAAAACTGTCTTAGAACCCCAGAAATACTTAAGTGTTCCTGTCCATGCTTCGGAACCTTATTAGTGGAATCTCTGAGAAAATGGGTGAGTAAATTAGATTCAACTGTTCGTAAATTTGCAAGCCAGAACTATTAAATTAGCAAAAGAATATCTGGAAATTCGGACAGCTTGATTAAAAAGCGTAAAAGATTTATTAGTTCAGCAGCATTAGAAAATATTCCGTAGAAAAGTGCAGCCATAAAATTGATAATAGAAAAAGGGGTTTATTTTATTACAGGCCCAGATTAATTGAGAGAATGATCGTCAGCCAAAAAAGAGTAATTAAACTGCAAGACAAAACTCTTCTATTAAGTATTTGGGAAATTAGATTAATTATTAGTAATTAGCACTCGCAGTAGGAGCACTCAACTTCCAGTATTATTTCCTGCTTTTCTTGCCGGAAATGGCACTTGCTTTCGAATAATGTGTCCAATTTGCGACTTGCAGCACTCTGGTATTTCGCATTTTACCCTTTGATGACATATCAAAGACTTCCGGTCATTTATCCGGCCGCTTTAACGGCACTGACAATTCTACATCAGAGGATAAGACTTCGGATAAGCACAAAGCTGAATACTCAAGGCAGGAGCCTATTTACAGAAAGATGCTAAAAGAATCGGACTTGCTGGTCAGGGGAGCAAATTTTGCAAGCTCGTGATGCTATTTCCCGATATTTAATTACTAACCCTATTAATCAATTGTAGAACAGGTTAGATATCAATTGGCGAAAAGTTGGTTCAGGAAATTTTGAAGAATGGCATATTTCCGTTTACTGTATCATTCACAAAAGTTTTTTTTTCCAATTAAATTAAGTTGTTATCAATTGCCAAACGACACTTTTTTTCATTTTTCGACAAACATTTTTATACGTTTCCACTAAGTCGTCTATCAAATAAGTACGACACTTTTTGCCTGTTCGTTGATTGCTGTTTTCTTCCGGCTTTTATTTGCTATTAAGTAGTTCTAATGCTCGTTCTTCTTCGTTCCTGAACTTGCAATATGATTTTTCTCATACTTTTCTCAACTACTTCCACACTGTTTTTAGTCAGTTAAATTTCGCTTTAAACGCACTTGCTGAGAGATGCAGAATGCATAGTCTCAACCATCATCGGTAGTAAACTCTACGGATAAATTGGTCGCAATTCGAAAAGTTCCTTGCAAGAAATTCGTCGTTTGCATTTTCTAGTCGGTCGCATCTCTTTTGAATTGTAATTTATAGGATAAGAGAATGGAGAAAATTTGAAAAAACAAAAAAGATCTGTAGAGTCTTTTAGACAAAAACTACCAAGCGCAAAAATAGAACAATTTAAAAATACGTTCGTTTGAAAAATTTAGTTAAGCGTACAACGCCTCAAAACTCTACAGATATTCATCTTTTTGGTATTAAGTGTTTTTTTTTTTTCAATTTTTGTGTATTTTTGCCTCGCGTAGTTAATATGGGTCATCATTAGGAATTACCATAACATACGCATGAAATGTCCAATTTCTTGACTTCCAATTATTTGAATTACGTTATTAATTATTGAATGAAAGCCTTATTTTGTTACATTAACTCACCTCCTGCGTGGTATATCTAGGCCAATATTGGATATATTCTAGGTTTTGCCCTAATAATAAACCCTAGAAAACAAATTAAAAACGGTATGTTTGGAAATGTTTCATTAATTAAATAACATTTATTGGAATATAATTTTGATTTCATATTTAAAAACATCATTGGCTCCCGGTTCTAAAAAGGCTTATAAAGATCCGAAGCCAAATATTTTATTTAAAAATGACAACAAAGGAAGTGGATTATTTAAGAGTTGCCACTCTCACTTTTACAAAAACATAAATGATAAAATTCTTCCTTCAAAAAGCAACGTGCAATTAAATTGCACAATTTGGGATCACGATACGAACAACTGAAATAGCTGACAAAGCTCTGATGTTAAGGGAATTAAGAAATCGCTGGCTTGCCATGGGCGGAAATAAATACGATATATCCTCTTCAAAAACCATAAACCCAATTTGAACCACTGAATCACAGTTTTCCATGTCTTTTTTAGTTAAATTCTCAATAATAATAATTTAAGTTTAATTTGATAAATCAAAAAATTCCCTTTAGCTTTAATTAAATCTCTTTTAGGTGTTTAATAAATCTCAAAAGTTGCGCTGTAAAAGAAGCGACTTTTTTGAGATTTCTGCATGTGTACATGGGTATTTGCGTACTAGCTTTATGATCTATTAATACATAAAGTAAGGACCCTCATACGTCAATGATGATATGGTAAAAAGTAAATCCTTTGGTCAAATCAGGCGAAATTTTTTCTTTATGAAGTAGATCAAGGCAGCTCAATAAAATTTCCCCAGTATTATAGAATTAATGTAATTTATTAAGCCAACAGATTGTTCTCTTCAATAACGTTAATAATTTCTACTGATATATTTTTTCTGTGTTTGTTTTAAGGGTTTTACTACCTTACTTTTTAATACATTTTGTGCTTGTCTAACACCTTCTAACTGATCGCTTAGCCTACAATGGAATATTTTTTTTCGCCAATGTTTTATTTGTAGTTGGGTGCAAACGTTTTCATCTTAATTTAATTTCCTTCATTGTTGAAATTATGGGTTTAACGGACTCCCTTTAACCTCCTATTTTTGTTGGTTACAGATTGATTTAGCTGTTCAGCGTTGCCATTATTTTGTCATATATTGTCGCGTAACTTTAGATTTTTTTCAGTGGTCTAGTCTCTTCACTTCCTTTGTAAGAGTGCCTATTTTTTGTTTCCTTCTGTTGCGTACCGGAATTTGCAACGTGACACAGAATGTTTCGAAATATGCAAATTCAATTTTCGTTTTCTGAACTTGCTAATACCTATCTATATTTTTTGTTAATCGTTTCCTTAATTGGGGTATTTAATTCGTGTTTCAGTTTAGTTGCAAGTGGAACAAAGTGATACTTTATATCAGCTCCTGAATATGTTTGGGTTAGTTTGGGTATATATTTTGAGTATTGATATTTCGTTGCTTGCATTGTTTAATCCTGATTTAACATAGTTGAGCGTCTGGCGTATCGTTGTTATTTACACCATTCGTGAAATTGATTTTACTAGGCAAATCTCATGTCATTGCCCTTCTACAATTCTTTCTGGAAACTATTTCTAAATTTAAAATAATGTGGTTCCTGAAATTGGAAAACTTGGAGGATGATATTATAAAAGAAACTCTTTCTTTACCTTATTGTCTAGCAAAAAAAGGGGCAAAAAACTTCATCTTAGTTTTAAGATCATTTTAACTTGAAATAAAACGCGAAGCTTTCAAGTTTTATGATAGATGAATGTTATATATAAAATCTCTTATAATGGACTAAAGTTGGTAAAGGGTGTTTATGGAATAAACATACAGTGTCCAACTAAACAAGCACTGAAACATGTGAGATTCTACGTAGCGCAAACTTTGAGGCGGTTTTCATGTGTGGCATTACCTACCGAGATAATACCGTAAATGTTCAAAGGAATTCTGTAGTTCAAAAACGAGTAATACGGATAGCTGGAAACCTCAGCTTTGTATTCTCGAGAAACTATATAGAGCTCAGTCTCCTAAATGTCTATGATTTATGTTTTTTTGATAGTTAAAGTTTCTATAAAATTGTCAAGGGAATTTTGATTATGCAACTGTTCATATTAACAATGAATGTGCGAGATATTTCAAATGTCAGCACAGCTTTATGTAGCAGATGCATCTTTAAGGAACAAGACAAGGAAGTACAAATTAAATCTAAGTCTCATTCGAGGTTCACTGGTTCTATTAAGAATAATTTAATTTTAATACACCGTGACTATAATGTTGGTACAAAATTGCTGGAATTTCCTTGATACACAAATGCTAATGAACATTGTTCCAACATTTTCAAGCGGAATTTTTTTCGGTTTATTTCATACAATAGTGACTGATGTGCTGACCTCACAGCAGTTCAACAAACCCTTCGAAATAAGTGAATGACTGTATTAAATGAAAAACTTGCAAGCAACATAAAACTAGACTTCCTAAAGAACAGACAAAATTCAGATTATGCAATACTTACATCAGATTAACAATAGTCAAGTCCTCAATTTTCGATAGATTCGTTCGAAGATTCTTCAAAAGCTGAAAAGAGATAATTGAAATTTAGTGAAACTTGTGATCGAACATTTGACAATATTTCATGAAAGATTACAGTTATCCGTGCGTTAAAATTGAGGGGTTCCAAAACGATTTGCCGGCTACAAACCAAACATTGAGCAAAATCAATTTGGTAAAAGCCTTTCGATTCATCTTCTTGGGGTTTTGTATAAAAACTAGAGTCCGTATCAACACGCATTTGCCCACACAACGATTACTCAGCCTGCTTTATATGAACACCATTAGAGTGAAGCTGGGGGTTACATATCGGCGAAATAATAGTGTTAATTTAAATGTGGTAGATATAAAAAAAAAATTTAAATCTACTTCTTAAAATGTGATATATTTTCCAGCATTCTATTCAATTCCCATTTGCCTAAATCCCTGAGTCATTTATTTCTTTCTTGGACCAGATTTACGACCCTTAATGTCGTTTGCGCGCCAATAATTGGAACCATTCGAGTGGCTTCCTGAACTCACATAATGGGCCTTCTTTATCTTACCTTTGAATTTATCATTGAAAGCACCGGTCATTTAGCAGACTAAACATTTATAATAATTGAAGGTTTCTATCTCGACCAGAAGGCCTTTCATCCGTTCGTCGTTAGAATATAAAAAGGGATTTTAAACGATTTATAACCGTCAAAAGCAAATAAATTTATGAGACATTGTTGCAGATGAATATATTATTTAAATCGCACCAGCTTCTCTGGAGCTTCTACGCATTATTGTCTGCTCTTTGGTGAATGTAATTTATTATTTTATCACACGATACCTCGTGAAATACTAATCGCATTAATGAGGTCCCTAATAGTGCTCTCCAGAGACAAAGACGCCTATACCGACATGTTATATTAAAAGATAAGCAGACAAAGAGAATCAACCCAAAGCTAAATAAGCTTTTTGCCCAAGGTTTGTTAACGAACTGCGAGACGAAACAACAAAGGATTATCTTCAGTATTGATGGCCCGTAATTTAATGAGAACTAAGGTAATTTCTGAAATTGGCTTAAGCACGGATTCTTTCTTTTATTTATAAAGGCTTGCCAGTCTCTAAATAAATAAAAAACATGAAACTAAGAATACATCGCTTTTTCAGCGATGTTTCTAGCCAGACAACTTAACAAGGGTTTTCCTTCGACTTCGTCAACAGTTCTAATAGCACTAATGTTTTTTTTGTAGCAACCCACCTGTAATTTAAGGTAATTTTTCAAGACGTTCGGTGCTAAGGGCGGTAGATTGCCAAGGTGCAATGTTGCAAGCACGCCTAGTTGATCTGCAAAACGCATTAAAAAAATTCATGAAAGCTGCAGGCAATAAAATAGCACTGGGAGTCAGTTTTGCTTACTTGGCGCATAAACTTTTCCATTGAAACAGTTACATGCTAAATCCAATCCATCGTCGTATGTACAGTTTGCAGGGCAATTCGAGCAGTCGGTGAGTCCTGAAATTCTATGAAAGTCAGAAGCGAATTTTTGCAGCATGAACGAATGGAATGGTTCAAAGTTTCTAATATTTGGAACAAAGCAAATATGATCACGTGCTAATAAAGTTTTTCATTTTAAGTGAAAAAGTTTTTTTAAGAGCTTCCACAATCGAATATGAGGAAAGCATCCTGAATGCAAGGTTCCATAACGAACATAATAAATCTTGGTAAAATAATAATTTGAGGCAAGATAGTTTTAACAAAATATTCGGTGTTGTCTAATAAGAAATTAATATGTGTTGAAATTGGTAATGCTTTGAGCACCATTTTTGTAGAGGTTTGAACATTGCTAAAAATACTGTTGCCCTTCAACACTGAGAGGTGGACTAAAATATGTCCCTATAAAGTACAAAGAGTTCTTCAAACAAAGTATCCAAACACAACAAAAACCCAGTTGTAATAATATGGTGTTCAGTTGGTTTAGTTGGAGTTTCGTTCTCTGAAGCGATATAGATTAAAAACTAAAATTGTTGTTAAGTAGAGGTGGTTTTTAATCCAGCTCAAGAATAGTTATAAAAATTGTTTGTCTAAAGTGTAATGCGTTGAAGTATTTACTACCTTTTGGACAGCGAGCTGATCTAATAGAAGTTTTGATGTTTGTTTGTTGAACAATTGACCGGTAACTGACTAGAAGACACAACGATGGCTATTTTTGCGAATTGGGGTCAGGACGATCAGCAAACGAAACATCAATAACTTGAAGATGAGCCCTCCAACAATGCAAAAATCCAAGAAAAACATGCGCAAATTTTTT